AAACATTGAGTATTGCTGTTGTATAAAAGTTACGTAAATAGATGAGGACACCTAGGAGAGACTATGGAGAGAGAAAATTACCTAAGACCAACCCCTAATAAGGTCTGGTGAAAGAAGAGGAACCTGCAAAGTAAATTGAGAAGGAACTGTCAGAAAGGTAGGATAAAAAGCAGGAGAACGGGGTGTCACGAAAGCCAAGGGTCCAGTTTGTTGCTAGAAGTAGTCAGTTGTGTGAAAAATGTAGTGAGATAAAGTGCAGTTACCCCTCAGTACTGTGGGGGATCGGTTCCCCAAGCCCCATGGATACCAAATCCTCCAGGGCTCAAATCCCTTGTATAAAGTGGTGTAGTATTTGCATATAACCTATGCACATTCTCCCATATACTGTACATCATCTCTAGATTACTCATAATACCTAACACAATGTAAATGCTATGTAAATAGTTGCTATGCTGTATTTTTATTTGTATTATCCTTTATTGTTTAATTATTTTTATTGGGTTTTTTCCCAAATATTTTTGATCCTCGGTTTTTTTGGGTTTTTTTCTGAAACAGAGTCTCGTTCTTTTGCTGGGGCTAGAGTGCCATGGCATCAGCCTAGCTCACTGCAACTTCAAACTCCTGGGCTCAAGCAACCCTCCTGCCTCAGCTTCCCAAGTAGCTGGGACTACAGGCATGTGCCACCACGCCCGGCTCATTTTTTCTATTTTTAGCCTTGCTCAGGCTGATCTCGAACTCTTGACCTCAAGCGATCCTCCTGCCTTGGCCTCCCAGAGTGCTAGGATTATAGGAATGAGCCATTGCACCCGGCCTGATCCTCAGTTGAATCCACAGATGCAAACCCATGGATACAGAGGGCCGACTGTATTGAGAGGAATACAAAGAGGTGTCCCCTGGATTTCACAACAGAAAGGTCACTGGTGACCCTGACAAGAGAGTTTCACTGGGCTGGGGGTGGGAGAGGGCAGGCTGAGGAAACCAGTTTGGAATGAAAGGCTTTTTCCTTTCTGGTTTCAGCCACTGGGCCTGGGGGCATTGTTTGGACACAGGGGCTACATAGATCCCAGCAGGCCAGAAGTGGCTGATTTCATCTTTCCAGGATGTATCTCTGTTATTTCTAATTTTAGTAAGAACATCTCAGACTGGAAGGATGCTGTGGAGCACATCTTCCTCAGCAACAACCTCATAAATGAACATGATCACACACTTTAACCAGCGTCCAGGTTCAAGAAAGGAGAGAGGGAGGACTAAGGGAAGAAGGAAGGAAGGGAGGGAGGGAAAACATGGTCTGATGGAACCAGAACTAAATTTGATTAATTCTTCTGACTACTATGTGTGAAGATTTCATGAAAACTAGAGTTTGCAGTGTTGAAGACAAGGGCTCTTCCTGTCCACCACAATTCGTGCCACCTTGATGGGCAGGTGATGGGGCAAGGTGGGTAAAAGGGCCCCCTCTAAAGAGGCCCTTGGTGCTCTACTGAGCTTTGCAAGCTGATGCCTGGGCAGACACCACATACCTAGTATTGAACTGACGAGTTCCTGAACAGAAAAATGAAAAGTATTAAACCACACAGATAAATGCCCATCTTTTAAAATCACTTTACTTTATGATATGGCTAACTTTAATTTCTGATTAATATTCTTAATCAGTGGTGACTTGAAACAGTTTAGCTTTTAGTTTCTCCCACTATTAAGTATTTAATGATCTATAAGCAAACTCTTGAGAAGTCTTTTTATAATAAAAGGAATCCCTTTGTATTTGTGAATAATTTCACCCTTTAGTTTATCATATGGAGAATCACTGGAAGTGGGCAAGAGTAGAAGAGAAGAGTCTCCCTGAATCTCAGAGGAAATTTGAGGCCAGCTAATGGTGGACATTTATTTTTGTGGTTTAATATTTTTTCCTTTTCCTGGATAGGAATTCTCCAGTTCAATACCAGACACGTGGTAAGATGTTCATAAACGAATGGGATCCAGTTCCCATGTCTGTTCACATGCTTTGATCCTATTTGCAAGGCAATATCTTGGGATGATTTTCTCAGTAAGTAAAAGGAATAGAGAAACCCAAAATTTTACTCCTGGCTAGTCCATTTTGTAATCTTGGTCAAGTTATTTAACCTTTCTCTGCTTCAATTCTCCTTTAGGAAATGGTGTGAATAATATCAACCTTCTCCCTGTATCTCAGAAGTAATTTGAGGCAAGCTAATTGACTCTACCATATGTGATGTAATGGTGGGGAAAAGAACTATTAAAATGTGAAATATCATTACCATGGTCCAAAGAAGAAATCACCATTGCACATGCTACCCTCTAGAGAGGGCTTTTGAAGACTGCTTTTAACCTTCTAGGCAATATCTTCCTATATTGGTGGAGGTGCCACCACCTGTCATTTGTTAGTTTGATTTTAAACTCTAACCCAGCTAAAAGTAGAACACATTCTAATTTTCATTGAATACATTTGTATTTGAGGATTTCAGAATATTCCTTGTGGTAACCAAGGATATCTGAGGTATAACAAAACCTGGTAATCATAGCACATGGTGATAAATGACTTACTGCACTCATTCAAGACCTCACCTGCAAGTGTACTAGTTAATGTGGCAGCTTCCAGAAGAACACAGTCCATAAGTAGGCAGCCCCTGGGGCACAGAAGAAAAATATGACTCAATGATGGTCAAAGAATTATTACGACTCTCCCATTGCAAGGTGCCTTCCCTTAGAAAGTGCAGGGCTCACATCTGTAAGGTAGGACATTTATCCCCATCTTATACAGGAAGAAATCGAGGCTCAGAGAGATTTAGTGGTTGGTCCAAATTCATATTGCTAGTCATTACATGCCAGAGGCAGAATTAGATTCTAGGTCCTCTGGTGCTTCTCTAGGATTCTTTCCTCACTGTGTGAAAATAATAATGAACATCAGTCTATGGAAGAAGGAAGGTAACATTGTGCCCAAAATACAATTCAAATTTCACATCGAAGGAGAAATTTTTTTGCAACTGATTTGATATTCTAAAGGTGGCCAGAATTATTGGAAAAATCAACCCCAGTGCCTCCTTCCTCTCCTTATTGCTTTATAAATCAGTATCAAAGGTACAATTTAAGAATGCTCAAATTTAAAACAAAGTAGACCCTGGACATTCATGGACTGAGTATGCACAAGGATCCCTGACGGTCTCTGACACATGTTCTGGAGGCAGGAATTTGAATCACATGCACTGAGGCTGCTGTGTGGGACAGAATCTCTTAGCTAGGGAGGGAGGCTCACCTGCCACCCACAATTCAAATAGCAATGTGGCTTCTTTGTTTCCCACTCATGACCATTACCAGTTCTGTGGAGAAAAATTACCACAAAGGGTATCACCTTTGTGATACCCTTGAATGGTATCACAAAATTTGAGCATTTCCAAAGGTCATGAGACATATTTCTGACAAACATCAAGGGTTCATTGTATTGGATTTTCCTGCTTTAATTTCCCATTAGGGGCCAACTCCAGGGTAACGTTATTGCTCACAGCAGTAACTAACTCATCTCGGATTCCTAATACATCTGTCCTTCTTCTACTTGGCTCCTGACCAGTGGTTGCTTTAAAAAAAATAAGTCATTTCTCATTTTTATCATTCTGTTTTGTATGTTTTTTGATGTTATAAATTGTCTTAAATCCTTTTTTGGCAGTAGAGAGAGTTTAAATCCTAAATAAATGTTGAAGCTAGGCTTCCTACAAAGAATTATTTATGTTAGTCCTCAGGCCTTCCATAATATTAGAAGTACTGAAAAGAATTAAAGGCAAAGATTTTTAAAAGACAATAGTGATTGGTTTTAGATGAATTTATCCAAATTCTGAAACTGACAGAAGCTAAGAATTATGCTTTGAGTGACACCTAATGGTTGAGAATGTCACTCTCCTAACTTCTTCTAGAGGACTCAGACTAGCGTTTCTCAACGCTGGGCTCTAGATCGTCTTCTTCAGAATCACCTGGGTGCCTGTTAGAAATGCAGAGAAATTCCTGGGCTCTGTGCCGCTGGAGTCTCCGGGCCTGGTCCCCAGGGGAAACTGTATCCTTCACAACCACCCAGGTGATTCCCACGTGTACTAGAGCAGCAGTCCCCAACCTTTTGGCACCAGGGACCAGTTTCATGGAAGAGAATTTTTCCACGGACCAGGTGGTGAGATGGTTATGGGATGATTCAAGCGCTTTACATTTATTGTACAAACCATTTTTCTAATGATAACCTGTATTTGCAACCGCTCCCCAGCGCTGGCACCACCACCTCAGCTCCCCCTCCGATCACTAGGCATTGGATTCTCATAAGGAGCCACAACCTAGATCCCTCGCATGCGCAGTTCACAGTAGGGGTTGCGCTTCTATGAGAATCGGATTCTCATAAGGAGCCACAACCTAGATCCCTCGCATGCGCAGGGGTTGCGCTTCTATAAGAATCGAATGCCTTAGGCCGATCTGACAGGAGGCGGAGCTTATGCGGTGACGCGAGCCATGGGGAGGGGCTGTAAATACAGATGAAGCTTCGCTCCTTTGCCAGCTGCTCGCTCACCTGCTGCCGTGCACCTGGTTCCTAAGAGGCCACAGACTGGTACTTACTTGTCCGTGCTGGGTTTAGGGCCCAGGGTTGGGGACTGCACTACTGTGTTTAAGAACCATTGATTCAAGCACTGCCAAGTCAGACGGCACAGGACTGTCAGACATGATGACACCCCAGAAAGTTAGAAGTGGCCAAGGCGCAGGGATTAGGCCTGGGCTTTGCATTGGCCTCCCTGGCCTACCAATGTGGGCTCGGGGTAGGGGTGGTAAGAAGGGCAGGGGGTACACAAGACCCAGGGGAGTGGCCGGCTGCCCTCTCGACAGCGAGGGTGGGGGTGGCGGAGGCCTGGGACCTAGAGAGCAGCCGTCCGGCTGCCTGCCCTTGTCCCCGGCGTCGAGAGGTGGAGGGGTGTGGGAAGCTGCGCCGCGCGGCCCCTAACGCCTGTGCTCCCTGTCCGCAGACGAACCCGCCTCCTGGAGCTCTCCCGCTGCCGCCGCCCCAGGTCTGCCGGAAGTAGGCGTCTCCCTCGAGGACGTCCTCTCTCCATTCTCTCCATCACATCCAGCCCCACCCTCCGACCCTTCCCACCAGATAAGCCCAGACCCAGCTTGGGATATCAAAAGGGAACACGACGTTAGGAAACCAAAGGAGCTTTCAGCCTGCGGCCAGAAGAAGCAGCGCCTCGGGGAGCAGAGGGAGCGCTCGGCGAGTCCGCAGAGGGCCGCGCGGCCGAGGCTCGAGGAGGCGCCCGGCTGCCAGGGGCGGCCCGAGGCCGGCAGGCCCGCCTCGGAGGCCAGGGCGCCCGGGCCCGCGGCGGCGGACGCGGCG